AGGCTAACTCCGTCGCCTCAACCTGAGGCTAACTCCGTCGCCTCAACCTGAGGCTAACTCCGTCGCCTCAACCTGAGGCTTGACAACTCAAAGCCGGTGTTGTTCCCGGATCGTACTTGAATGATAACTAGAAATGTTGAAAGCTGCGGATCAGCTCTTCTGACATTTCCCTGGGATGCTACTTCGGTCACAGCTTCTAGCTCTTTCATGAGCGTGGACATGTAAGTCCCAGTGGTTGGGGAGCAATTTGTATGCCTTTTGCTTTAAATCGTCCTCCAAACCAGAGTCAGGACTTGTATGGGTCCTTCAATTTATTGTTCTGCTAATAAGAGAACAATTAGCTCATTTCCCCCTCCTTGCACTGCATATTCTTCCATCGCCATAGGCAATCATAGACACTCACCTAATAAAGCTCTATTTTAAAGCCCAGGGTCACAAAGCTGAGTCTGGAATTTTAAGTTTGCAATTAAGATGCCCCTTGAAATATGCAAGCTTCAAACAAGGGCACATCTTGTTACACTCAGCATGTTCTAGCCCGAGACAGCCAAAACCGAGAAGGCACCAAGAGTGTATAAACTCACAAAATTTGCTTTGCTTAAGGAAACAATTTATCCAACATTTGTACCAACTAGCTATTGATGACCTGCTACTGTGGCCAAACTGAGATGAAAATGTCCTCAGAGAAGCATGAACTTTGGGAAAAGGAGCAAAGTTTGCACGCTGACCTGAGAATAAGTCAGACTAGGCGGCACCGGGGCCGCGGGGTGGTCACTTGCCCACCACTGACCCTGCATTATTCTGCACCACGAATGAGGGGCTGGGGACAGGCGTGTTCCGCCACCGGCGAAGCAACGCGCATTTTATCCTGAGCAACGGACGCCACGACTGGGTGACATTACCCCGCCGCGCGCGGGTCAGTGCGGTGTAGGTGAGCTGAGGAGACACGAGGCCGGAAGCGGCGACCTGCGGGTCACCTGCATGAAGCGTCTCCGGGGCAGCGAAGGGAACTGAGCTTCCGGGGGTCAGTTCGCTCGGGTCACAAAGGGCGCCCCTGCGGGGCGCGCGCAGCACCCCGGGCCGCACCTGTGCAGGGGGAGCCCCGAGTCGGCGTCCGCGCG